AAGTATCCATGGCCAGACCCTGGGCAGACAATTTTCCAATGCTAAACTGACAACTCTGAAGCCTGGGGGCTCCTCTTCCCGCCCAGGCCCCGCTTCTCCCCTGTGCCCAGCGGCCCTTCTGCAGGACGCCCCCAGCGGACGCCAGCCGGTTCTTCAGGTGGGAATTCCCGCAAAGGCACCACACCAAAAGCGGCGCAGGAGCAGCCCAGCCGCAAGTCACTCTCTCCTGTGCGTTACACAACGGCAACGATTTAATTTCCCTTTTTCAATAAATGCGCGTTCACCTTTTGGAAACAGCGGAGGTTCTGCAAAGAAGCTACTTGCTTGCTAGGCATTAAAGCAGAAGTGGGGACTCGTGGGCCCGGCCCTGCTGATGGAGTTGTGACCAAGCCCAGATCCCCATTCTCCGTCCCTGCCTAAAAGAGACGCATGCCGATTCCTGACACGCGCTCTGCAGCATCTTTGACTGCCTGATGAGAAGAGCTGAGCAAAGACCTTCTTGAAAGATGTTTCCAGCTGACCCTTCACCAGAGAAGCCTGTGCTCCAAGACGCAGGAAAATAAAATAACTAAAACTCCAGATCGCCAAGACGGACACGCGCAAGTTTAGAACTTTCCTCTCCTGTGACACAAGAGCACGCAACGTTTAGGTGGCAATCCTCTGCCCGCTTCCCCAAGACAAAGCTGTACGGTAGGAGGGTCTAAGTGCAGTTCAGCTCAGGATCGCAGAATTTTTCCAACTATTTAACTCTGCGTGAACTAAAGAAAACAAGATTGCCAACTCCAGGGGCAGCACCCTGCTACCTGTGGTCGATTTGGAAAAAGCTAAGCAGAGCCGGAGCTGGAGAGCCCTTGGATGGGAGACCACGAAGAGATCGAAAGCCTAAAGCTCTTCTCCAGGTGCCCAGGCATTAGCAGGTTCAAATCACAGCCAAACTCCCAATTGGCGGCAAGCGGGTTGCCTGGGCTTCGCTGGCTGGCACGTTTGTGGGGATGGCACTTCATGGGGGGAAAAAAGTTATTTCCCATGGGCGTCTCGTCGATAATCACACACGCCACCACACGGACCAGAACAGTGGAGGACTGGTATTGAAATAAACGTTATAAGTCTGTGACCTTACAGGGGTTTCGGCACGCTGCAATGCCCGCCAACAGCAAGCCTGTTTTTTGAACAATTTTAAAATTCACAACAGGTGTAGGTGCAACAGCAGCAGACAGCACACTCGCTCCCTGAGCGAAAACCTTCCCGCCGACTCACCTGCAAGGAACAGACCACGTTGGTTAGACGTGGAATAACGTTCCATCCCCGGACGTGGCCTCCAGCGCAGCGTTTTGCAAAGAGAGCGCCAACGGGCGCGCACCGGCTAGGCTGGTACCGTTCGAAGGCAAAGCCAGGAAGCAACGCGACGGCTACGTGCCACACGGGAACCCCATCCAAAGGGCCGAGTCCCACATCCTGCTACGCCATCCCCCCCTTAACCACGCCGTGCCGAACGAGCCACTACCGCTTAGGTCCACGCGAGATGCTGAGCCACCAACCATGGCCGCTAAACCTCCAGGGCTAAAGTCGCTACTCCCGCCCGGCCACAGCCAAGCGGGTCACGCCACGGTTCGGGGTTCAAGGTAAGGATCCTGCCCCTCCACTCGCA